TCCCTACTCCTCATGAAATGAGGGTTACAGAAGTTGGAGTCAGAAGCCCATTATTTTGAAATAACGGGTTTGCTTTCTAGATGTGCACTCTGTTATTTCACATTAACATTAGTTATTTCAAAATAACGCTGCTGTGTAGACATGCCCTGGGTGAAAAGCAGCTGTAAGTGTAAAGTATTTTCTAAACAGAAACCTGAAAGGCTTTGGTATATGACAGCTCTTGGCACATCACTTCTGCTGTTGTGATACCAATGTGTGGGCCATTGCCTGTGATTTGGAAGGAATTCAGCCAGGAGGACTGCAGCTTAATGGAGAAATGTTTGGGAAGCATTGCATTAAAAATGACCCTCTTTTTGGTTCAGAGGGATAGCCGAATTAGTATGTAACTGGAAAAACTTAAAAAACAACGAATAGTACAAATGACCAAAACCCGAAGCTCCGTAATTCCCACTGTGCCTCAGTTCTAACGCGCATACACACTAGGCAATTTAAACCCATGGAGACAGCGCAGCATTCATTTGCGGTGTTTAATTTGCCTCCTCCTTCAGTGATTTGTCTGCTTTCTTTCCTCTTCTACTGCTTCCTCTCTCACTGTAAAGCGATAGCCTGCTACCTCTTCAAGGGAAGGAAGGAAATCCCTGGGGATCAACTGAGAGAGCCGGAGGAGTTGAAAAAAAAACAAACAAAACAAAAGAGTGAAGGATTATTTGGAAAGTTGACACAGAGTAAATTGCTGTCTTTCTTTTCTTCTTCCTTTCTTTTCTCCTAACCATTTATTGAGCTGTATGGTTGACAGGGCTTCTATGCACATGAGGCAAAAGAGGGCAAGATACCACATTTATTAAGTGAGTCATTTTTCTGTTTTTTTTTTCTAAGAAAACCATTTAGAACATACCTTAGTGTTCCCCATGTCCCTTACAACTTAATCTTTTAAACAAATACTGGAAACTGTGGCTTCCCTTCCTTCTTTATGCTTTTGTGTCAGTTGAAATATAGATGCCTGACCCAACCATATTGTCTGGTTTAACTTCAAATATTTTTTTAAATTACAGATGGGCCTGAACCAAAACCCAGCCTCACATTCCTTCCTTCTGTGAACTTTAGAGAAGTTTGGATCCACATCGAGTCCAGTCTTTAACCAGACGAAACGAAGCCCCCACATCTAAACTCCTCTGAAATCCTGGAACGCTGAGATTTGGATCCCAACATTGCCCTGTGGGCTCATCTCTACTCTTCCCCCTTAGCCAATGGAAAAGAGAGGTAAGGTAACTCTTGCTCCATTCAGAGGCAGAACTGAGTTGACTTAAGAATTACGAGAGCAGCCTCTTTCCTGATCAGATCCAAGATTGTGAAAATCCATTCAGTGATGGTCTTGCCATTTGCAGGAGTCCATGTTGGTGAAAGCACCTCCTCTTCCACTCCCTTTTCTAGGAAGCATGTGTTGTTACCTTCCTTTCTTTACCCACTGCCTCCCTTATCCTGTTTTGTGCCACTTTTCAGTTCCCAAGGCTGACTCCTGTCCTACAGTGTTTGTATGTATGTGAGGGCCGAAGTAACTGTGTACTTCTCCTTGTGCTTGAGGACATCCCTGCTTCCCATCTCTCAAGTAGGCATCTGGTGGCTGCAGGAACAGAGCCACTAACATGTTAGCCCTTGTAATATGCTGAACCACTCTAGCAAATCACTTTAAAATGGGCTTCAGATGTGATGCAGTGGAGCCCAAAGAAAACCAGATCCCAGCCAAACCCAAATTTATGCTCGTGGTTTCTGGAGCTTGGGAGATAAATTTTGTTATAGTTCAAATTGATTTCAAAGATTTTGGTTGGTTTCCCCTCCCCCCCCCCCATTATTGGTTTTTGTGCAGGGGAGGCGGTAACAGTAAGCATCACTTTAGCATATGGTAAGAGTCTATGTAGACTCACAGTCCTGGTATTAAAATTCGGGGAAGCTCATGTGTGCTGAATCCTAGAAGGGTCCTGGACAAACAGAAGTATGTGGAGGTGATGCAGTTAGTGTTTCTGGCCAACAGGCCACTGGATGCATTAGTACCGCAGGGCCTTGCTAGTTGCTGTTACCTAGGCAACAGTGTATTGTACATGGAAGAGGCATGACAAAGAAGAAGGGAAAAATATTGGGTCTTTCCAGAAAAAGAGGCCTGCTTTGGACTCACAAAGCAGCCCTTTGACCTACAGGATAGGTTAGTCTCTAAGGAAACTGGTTGTGCACAAAAGTACTTCTTCAGATTTGACCTAACCCTTATTCATCAAAAAAGTCTCATTGACATCAACCAGAGTTTGTTTGTTTATCCATCTGACTTATATGGCCTGCATTATTATAGTGTCTAAGTCCCTCAGGGTATGTCTACACTACCCCGCTAGTTCGAACTAGCGGGGTAGTGTAGACATACCCCCAGAGACAGCATGGACTAAGTCAAGAGACACACGCTGCTTCTTGTGCACAGAAGAGTTAATCTCTGTCTGGACGACAGTGTGAAGAGGAGAAGCTATAAATGCGGGAAGCTGTGGGCCTGAC